TTAAATTAATTTCAGGAAACAGCTGAAATGAGTTTCACCTACAAGTCCAAAGATTTTGGAAACAAACGTCCATATTCATTTTCACACATTCTGTGAGCCACCTGGAAATTCTACTTTCCTGAGCCATATGTTGTTCACTGTATCCACCTTAAAAGAATCTCCAGCTCTACAGGTCTGGATTTTAGCTTTAGTGTAGGCCTGCACTCTGTGTAAATGCCCAGAGGCCCCATGCAGTCACTGTGCCCCGATTGCTCCTGATGGCCAGCAGGCTTGCACAAGTGAGTCCTGTAGGTGCAGACAGAAGGAGCTGTGCCACCACAGACAGGATGTTTAAGAGGGTGGGGAAGTCTGTTTCTTCATTTCTTTACCAACAACATGGGGCAAAACAACCCAACATCTCTGAAAACAGGGCTACCTAGCATTCAGCAGGCAACGCTGAGAGGATCCAGCGGTGCAGTTAACATCAAGTAAAGTCGTTTGTTTGCCGTGGTGAAGCAGTAACAACATGGTGATGCCATTGGGAACAATGGCAATTACACAGCAAGCCACTTCAGCATTACTGTATCATTACAGCTTGATAATATGCAATCAAAACTTTATTAGAAATCATAAGCAGCATCTATTATTCATCGGTTAGATCCAGCTAAGAAAGGGAAGGCTGCATGCCTACCAGTAACAGGACTCTGAGCCAGTCTAAGCACAGGGTTGGAGGGTAGTTCCATGGTCATATAGTGTTGAGTCACCACTGTATAACCTTCAGCAATATTACCATCTCAGTTCTTCCATGTACAAAATGGAATAATAAAAATAATATACATTTCCAGTATTATTAGAAATAATTAACTCAGATAAGTATTATCATTAATTTTATAGTGGTTACTGATTCAAGTTAAATTATTTGATTGTAAAATTTAATACTTCTAAAGTTGCAGGCATTCAACAGATGCAAGCAGGCACCTGAGATTGTAAAATATGTGCACCTATATATTTGTGCACAAATGGGTCCATAAAGCATGTGAAAACACACACTCAGACTAAATGGTCTGTTGGTTTCAGCTCCTTCATACTGTAAAATTGCTGGATAAATGTGTGTGAACTCTGATACCAACAGCTCTAGTATGTAAAGTATCTTCTATGTATGCACAATTCAATGTATGTATGCACAATTTTAATATTTGAATTCTCAGTTTTTTCGTTATGCTAATGAGCTCTAACATGACAGCCAACCTGTATTCCCAATATGTACCACAGTTTAGAAATTCTAACAGTAGTCCTGAAAACAATCCTCTGTTCCTTCTCAAAAAAGTTATTTTAGCTTATATTCAAGTGGCAACCTGTAGTAGTTCAGAAAAACTACCACACAACCAATGTTATCTCTATATCTTTCTATCTCTAGATAGAAAACCTATATCTTTATCTCTATCTCTATCCTTCCTCACCTTATTTTAAATAAAATAAATATACAGTTTGCACCTTGACAAATACTTAATAAGCAAATTAGGAAAGCATCAGAAATAGCTGACTAAAGAAGCACAGTCTGGTATTTTTTAACTGCATACTTCCATCTCTCCCAAGCCTGCAACCTGTCTTACATGGGCAGGCATAAGTTACCTACAAAAATTGACAATGCTCTGCAGAGGTACAAAAATGTGTCACCAAGAACCACCCACAAATCTTCACATAGAGTCCCCCCACCTAGGCATGTACCTCTGACTGGTGTTTTTCACCTGCATCACTGTTAAAAGTCTGACTGCAGCTCCAAGGTCACTAAGAACAAACAAGTACCACTAGACCACCCTTTCTCATTCTTTGTTCCACTAAACAAGGAAAAAAAATTATTTTGAGTGATAGGAGAAAAGGAAAGAGATGAAGTAGAAATACGTTTTAAAAGATGAAAGATGCAGTTTCAAGGAACAAAATAACTGATAAACACCAAGGTAGGTTAATATTTACTGACCAGAAAGAGAAATTTGGATATTAACATTAAAAAATTATCCTAGTCAGAATTTATCAATTTATAAAACTAGTTTATTTTCACTTAGTGACTAAGTCACTTTGTGACTTAGACAATATAAATTCTGGTATTATCTACCCAGGCAAGAGAGGAACAAAAAGATTGGGCATATTCAGGAAATAACTAGAGAGGGTCTATTCCCACTAGGGCACAGAAACAGATTAATGGCATTTCTCTGCTAACAAAAAAAAAACAAAAAAAACACCAAAAAAACCCTGTATCATTTTTAACACCTGTTTTACAGCATATTTATTTGATACAAATGAGAATGCAAAAGATAATTAAACAAAAAAAGTTAAAAAATATATACACTATGCATTCTGGGCAGGCTGCCAATGTGAATACAGCACCCCAGTTCCATCAGCAAATGTGGGTGACAGCTGGTGAAACTCCAACCATTTTACACAGGGAGAAACACAGAAGTCCCTTGACTGTAAAGGGACTTCAGCTTCAATCAATTATTTAGTACAAATAGTGAGATATATCTCAACAGAAAGGGACACTATTTGATACTTTTGCAATAGTTTGTCTGATTTGCACTCTTCCAGATCCAAGCACTTTGTAACTCTTCCACTTTGACAACTGTGTGTGTCTCTTCTACATCACAGTGGGCAGAGGTGGAGGAAGCCCAGAACATATCCAGGCATGGATCATCTAAGTAGTAATCCCTAGCCCAAGCACTCATCTTAAGCACTTGCTTCCTTTCAGCTTGTCCATCCTGGCTTTAGAACCCACAGAACCATAGAATGGTTTGGTTGGAAGGTACATTAAAGACCATCTAGTTCCAACCCCACTGCCATGGGCAGGGAACCTTCCACTAGACCAGGTGACTCAGAACCCATCCAGCTTGCCTGGTCAACAAGCCCCAGCCTTCATCCCCATCCCTGGCTCAGCAGGTTCTGGGCATCCTCACATCAAGGAGTGAGCTCCCAGGGGCTCTCTTGACAAAGAGGACTGCCCAAGGCACCCTGATGTCCAGACCCTGGCTGGGCTGTGCCCTGTGAAACTGCAAGACATGCCCAAGGAGAGTCCCCCAAGGCCCCATCCCTGCCGCACTGAAGTGGAGCCATGGACACCTGGCACACCCCCAAAGACTGACACCACTGAGAGCCCTGAGGACATCTGTTCCAGCCCTTGGGGCAGAACCATGACCTGTGCCAGTACCAAAGCATCTGGTACATCTGTTACTTGTACGTAAAAAGGCACGATTTCCAGATGATACACGCTAGTATCGATTTTATTTGAATGCAGTTCACACCAGTTCTTTACACCAGCTGTCAGCAAGGTCTGGATGACCTTGTTTTAAGTGTTTATGTTCTCCAAAGAGAGAAACATTATCTGAAGCCTGCTTTATGTTTATTTTAAAAGACCAAAGAGTTTATTTTGAAAAATCCAACTGAAAATACTTAAAAGACTATGATAGATACCCTGAAGTATGGATTGGGAAACTTGAAATATATTGCACATGTTGTATGGGCCACTGACAAATAATAGGAAAGCAGTGTGTGCTTACGCAACTGGGATTATCCAAACTATCATTTGGTTGTCTTATTTGCACAAGATGTTGGACAAAAATTAAAATAGAAACAAATGTGCAATATATTTTGCATCTTCTAAGTTTAAAGGATAGTTACAAATGAACTGTCATAGCCCTAAAAAGGCCAGTCTTGAGCCAATGTTAAGCAGTCTCCATTTGATCTTTCTTTCTTTCTTTCCTGAAAACATTCTTATGACTAGAAATTTCTAGAAATACCCTTTTTCTGCATGGACCACTGGCCCTGGGACTGAGCACTAGTCAGACACTGGTTTAAAATCAAGTTATTGCAGAAGTACTGTCACTGAGAAACCCCACATACTCAAAACTACGCCACCTCTTTCAAAATAAGTAGCAAGGCTGTTTTTCAGCATGTCCTGACCTTTCCCACTCCCTATTCCCTTACCCAGTCCTCTTCTTGGATTGTCTCTGTAAAGAGACATCTTTACAGAGACATCTGGAGGTCAGGTCCCTATACAAGCTCTTGGGACAGCATGAGGGTTACAAGTAACAAAGCCACATGGTTTTGGATAAACTATTTGTTAATAATTTTTTCAACACTTGAATTTCACATATGACTGCTTAAGTCTCCTGTCATTTATTTTTACTGCTAGAGATATCCAGAAAAACTGGCAGAGCAAATACTGTGCAGTATCACATTTAGTGATAACAGTGAAATACATTTGCTTTTCAAATGTACATGATGGGTCTAGAAAAATTTGTGGTGGAAAATTCGTAAAGACCCACATACACACAAAAACAAAATATTAGAGCACAAAAAGCCTCCTTAGCAAAAGACAACTAAGACCTGAGACAATAACCAGTGTGACAAGTATAACATAGACTTACCCCAGCACTGCTTTTGTGCTGATGTACACCTGAACTTGCAATCTGTGCACACACAGGCAGTAAGCATACTGGTATCTTAATTCACAAGTATTACAGGAATGAAAATCAGTTTAGAAATTTATTTGGATTACTATTTATTCCCAATTGTCATAAAACAATATAACCTACACTGCTGGTATACTTCATCCAGACAATCCTGACTACTTCCAAAGGAGGATTATTTACTAACCTCAGTGCACTACTCAAGCAGCAAGAATTCCCAAAATACACATCCCAACACAATAAGCATTTCAAAGTTTTTAAGTAAATTTGATACAGAATTTCTAGGAAAAGGAAAAACATGGCAACTTGAAAAATGGCCTCAAGAAGATACCTTATACTGTCCATCATTCTTTTGTTTCTACTGTTACAACTCATTACAGATTCTAGTTCAACTACAAGGAAATGCATTCAAGTAAGAGTAAGACTTGATGCCAATCTGGATAATCTCTCTACAATAGCATCAGTCAGGTACCAACTCAACTCAGTAGAAGTCTAGGAAAAAGAAGTGATGGATCTATTCCAACAGTAGAAGGGAAGGTTATAGAAAAGCAGAAAACTTACCTCCACAAAGAGCTCTCCAGAACTTTCCCCATGTCAGTATGATAATACTTGGTAAGGATCAGGATCACCTGAAAGAAAATGAGAATAAATAGATTTAAATATGTAAACTGATGTAAGAAACAGAAACAGACATGGGCAGCATGTTTTTGGGAAATACAAAGAAGAGGCTTCTGAAAATCTGAACAGCATTTTACCTCATTTTTAACTCTTAAGAGTTTTGCTTTTTAGCCTGGATTTTTCATTTTTCTTTCTGGGAAGAGTGATTTCAGCACATGAAGTTTTCTGCAAACTTGGTGACTGTGAAAGATTACCCATTTCACATAAGCAGGGGATTTGGAATTGCCACATAAATACCACTACCACGTGACATTCCCCAAGAAATATTTATGACTTTCTGATTAGGAAACAACAATCTGGTTGCTAGTTTAAATTTAGGAGGCAACTCTACAGACAAAATTACTTTTTTAATCCAAAATATAAAACAATGGTGATTAATTTTGACTATCCAGATTTAAAAAAAAAATCAGGAAAAAAAATTAGCTCTGGCCTTCCTTACAAAATCAGCAATGCAACTTTCATAGCTATCACTTTTCCCCTTTCACAAACCAGCTTTCTGCTCAATAAATTACTCATCTACATCAGCAATAGCTAACAAAATACACAAGCAAATTTCTTCCACAAAACATCTTCATCCTATGAAAAGAGTCAGCAAGAAATACTTTCCATCTGTTCAACACGTGACAAATTCACTGGTCAAATAACAAAGTGCTAGTCCACAATCAGTGCATCAAGCTCAATACTATGGTTCATGTTTGGATCTTTTACAGGTTTCTTTCACTTGCTGCCAGTCCACGTTAGTGGCTCTTAGAGCCACATGCCCAGAGCAACCCCACAGAGGGTAGAACAGGATGGTTCCCTGCACAGCTGGAGGCTTCCTTTAGTGTGGGGTCAACACCAGTCTCCAACAGTTTGAAGCAAGCTGTTATTTAACTGGCACTGCTCTGCTCCTGCCCACCAGATGAAATCCCCAGCAAGCAGCAACTGTAGGCATTCACTTTGATTATTCAGATAATTAATATGCCGATGATACATTTATGCTGCACTCCTTGTATGCTGGAGCTTGTGAAAGAACAGAATTCCAGACTGAGGATGTTATTACATGGAAATAATGCAGTGTTTTACAGAACTGAGACATAATATCAGTCTCCCTCAGGGTTAGCCAAACCTAATAAATTCACAACACATATTCCTGGATGTATATTGATATAAGCAAAAGTGGAAACAACCCATAATTCACAAGTAGTATTATTCACTCCTATTCTCAAAAGAGTCACAATCTACCAGATCACTTTTCTGGAATTTGCTTATTTATAAAAATAAAGGTTTAGCTTAAAACAGAGGGGAAAAAAAAAAGAAAAAAATTTAATCGGTTACTACAAGACTTACAAAGAAAAGAGAAAGAACCATTTCCCAAAGGAGAGTGTATCTATGGATGAGATTCCTGGCTACAGCCCAAGCACGTTCCACCAGGTCAGCTATTTATTGTATTGTCAGTGTCTTAACTACAGCTTTTTCTGCTTCTTGCAATTAAGAAGAAAAAGAAAGAAACTTCACTACTGGGAGCATCTATTGACTCCAATTATTAAGGAAAAAGTTTCAGACTGTGCTTCTCCAAACAACTATAATTCCTATTATGTGAGAAAAACTGATCTGGAATTTATTTATGGATACAAGAATGCATATTTGGTACATGAAAAATAAATAAGAAAATACCGAAAAACACAAGAGCTTATATACATTGTTTCCTTCCATTTATACAGAAATGGAGGCTGAATCCTGAACTTGGTGAGCCAATTTTCTTTATCCCTGTATACCCTAGAATTAGGAATTTTAAAATTCAGATAATTTTCAGCAACATGTGTTGGATCCATCCTGCCACAGACTAAGCCTGATGTTCCATTTTTGAATTAAACAGATTAAAATCACACACAGAAAATCCTATTGGGTCACCCTCTGTCAGTCCACTTGCTTTTTCCACAACCTGTAAGGATGTACCAACAAAGAACCTTCCAGATAAGCCATTTCTGTAACTCAGCACCCATCCGAAATAGAGACTGTCAGGCTTATGGTCCTGCTGGCTATCTGCAGCTCATCTGGGCATGCACACACCGAGCCAGAAAGCCACTGCTGTTCCACACACTGTCGCCCTGAAAACTCAGCTTCTGATCTTGCTGACATAGTTTTCAAAGACTTTCCCAGGACAGCAACTGTAAACATAGATATGTGTACATTCCTTCCGTTACACGTCTTGTGATGGGCATCCCTCATGGCCAGTGCAGTGGCAAAGTGTTATCCTGACCATCCAATCCCTGGCCATGGTCAGAAACCTATAAATCCTGGGAGGAAAAATAAACTCTCTCTTCCTTTCACTACACCTCAAGCTGTGTCCATGTGATCTATTCAGCATCCAGCGGCAACACCACACTTCAACTGAACGGCTTTCAGGTAACTGCAAACTGCAGTGGGGAATAGCCACAAGCAGTAAAACATTTCTTGATGCTGCAGGACTGGTGCTTTAAACTGAATCAGAGCTCTGAAAAACAGATGTCATTACTTTCCAATCTGACTGGTAGATTCATGTAAAAATTAAAATACCTTACTTTGCATTTTGTAAGTAAAGACAATGACTTAGTAGGAAATACAAAGCCATAAGAAGCCATAGAAATCTCAAACACCATTAGCAGGTTCCTGTCACGACTTAAGTATGAAGCTGCTGAGAGGCTGACCGTCATTTCAGCTATGCCAGTGGATTTCATCCCAGTGTCTGAATAATGGAGTCCAGCTATTTAACAAATTTTACACCACAGTCCTTTAGACTGTGGGCAACTTTTCAGGCAATCCTGCTAACTGCATGGCATTCTCTTCTAAATTGATTGATCCAAAGAACAGAATGAATTATTTCACAATGAAAGCATAAAGGTCTTCAGGATCTCTGGATTCTACCCATCATTTTTAAGAGCAGAAGCCTGTTTCACTGATTTCATTTTAATGAGACTCCATAATTATAAGCATTTTACAGGCTGGATTGAAGCCAGTGGTTCACACACATGGTTCTCCTCGTGAAAGTGCTTGGGTGGCCTGTGGCTGGGGAGAGGCACAGCAGCAACTGAGCAATAATCAAGGATGTGATCCTTAACCAGCTCATTCTACCATTAGTCATGGACAGCTAAAATAAATTTAACTTTTTTCTGTTATTATTTTACTGCTAAAATAAATTTAGGCAATGAAGGAGAACAAGATTTATCAGATTTTTTACTTTAAGGTGGATTTATAGGATTATCTAGAAATCTTCACTCAATCAAGACTTCCAGAGACCTGTGAAACCATTTTAAACCATTTAATCTTAAAGTTACTCAAAATTCTTTGAGTTCCCTCCCAGAGTATGACAATGGAGGTGGCAACAGTGATTAGTGTTGTGTGCTAGGGACTTCAGAACACCTGATGGTGCTTCTGGACAAAAATACCAAAAGGGAAAAAAGAAAGTGAAAACTTTCAGATTTTATCACAAAATTGGTACTCTGTTGCTTGCTTCTTTATCAAAGCCTTTGGTAAAGGCCTCTTCATAAAGCCAATATTTCTCTCTATGTGCCACGGTATGGAAGATAAATCCCTTAGGATTCTAAGAATTAAATGTAATGTGCATTAGAAGTTAGTTTTCCATGCAAGAAATAACTAGCTGCAGTCAATTTCTCTGTGTTGAGCCTTCAGAAATTTCTCTACCGCATCCTCCCCCTCCTTTTTTGGGGGGGAAAAAGGGCAGTGGGGTGCACAGATGGAATTTTGATTCTCCTACATCATTCCCCCGCTTCCATAACTTCGTTCCTGCCTGTGTGAATTCTCACTGCTATAGCAGTCACAGCTCAAAACTGTTCTCCAAACAAAGGAGTTGAAGTAGTTTTGATCCAAAATCTTTTCTGGATATAGACCTGTCTTCAGGAGTGCACTGGGTTTTCAGTGAATGACAGACCAGGAAAACAAATAGAAAATTCCACAGATATTATTACCCATGAATAATGAAAGTTAGTATGATCTATGTCTATCCCCTCTCCTTTTCTGTTGCTCTCCTCTGAAAATGCTTTGCAGTGAGACTGGGCTGAAAAGAGCACAACTTCACTTTATGAGACACAATGTGCTTTCAATCATTTCCTAATAAAATTTTGGCTTTAGGAAGCCCATTTTAATCCTCTCTTTTCATCACTGTGTCAGCTAAGAGGGCTGAGAAAGGAAAAAGGAATGAGTTCTAGATCAATCACTTTTCCTGGTGTTTATATTTTATCTTTTTGTAGAGGATTTGCTAAGATCCTTCTCTTTCTGATAAACATCGACTTTTGGAAAACTATTTTATTTTTTCCCCATGCTCCCTCCATGATGCTTTTTTTCATGGATCTTTCTTAACAAAGATCTCTTTTTTCTATCTACATGTAGATTCTTACAGATAAAGTCTTTCTTGACCCCTGAAATTTGTGATTTTATGTACTTTTTTTTTGGCATGTATTCAGAAGTTTCATAGTGAAAGTCTCATACTTTCAAAAATACAATTACAAGTATGATTATGCAAGTTTTTGTCTTTTCTCAAGTTTTTAGAAAGTGAGAGCATGCTCTTAGTACTCCTGAGCTTAGAGTACTTAGCTTTCCAGAGCTACCAGGAAAATAAACTCCTCAAACAGATTCAAATTTCTGCAAACTTTTTAGCATCTGCTTAATTTAATTCATGTGAATGAACCCACTGAAATCCAAAGAAGTGTTTATGAGAGTGGCTTGAACTGGTACTTAATACTCTGTATGACTGGAACATAAGCTGCTGTTTTGCTCAAGAACACAGCCTCACTCACCTTTTCAGCTATTTAACTATTCCACTGTACACCACAACTATTTTGGGGAGATCAAGAGGTTCTAGACACATCCTATTAATTTTTCACTACCACCCCCTGTAACTCCAAAATTTTTTTGACAACTAATAATCAAAAAGCTCCCTAACAAATTATAGGCAACCACCCACTGCTCC